TTATTTGTTGATAAGACGAAGCACGTAATCACATTGTTGAATACGAATTTAGAAGTGTCTCACGAAACACTGGATAACTGAGATAATATTATATAAAGACAGTGAGTGATCAATGATCTTTATGTGTTTTGAGATAAAGATCATAATATAATTTTTCTCAAAACAATAATTATAAGTTAAAGTCGCACGAAGTTTCGCATTACACAACACTGGACCCGTCGTGTTAATAAAACAATAAAAACCTTTTCGGAACGTGATGTAGATTAACGCGCTCCGGTTTAAAACTATATTTAGTGATTTTTATGTTTTAATCATTATTAAAATGTAATATTTCAAACGTATTAATTAAAGATTTTTAGTATTAAATTATAAAAAATCAGCGGATGATACAGAATTTATCTTACTTACCAAATCCGAAATTTTCAGATCGATGTCTCCAGAAATTTTCCCCGATTTCGATTATTACGATTATTAAACAGTAAATATGTGTATTTTTACTTTAGATTATATTTTGATTCAAGGGCACGCCTACTGCCTAATTAATTAAGTTAATAAATAAGAATTACAGACGATATTTAATACGAAAAGAGGAAAAAAGTCTTTGCTCATTTAATTAACCTTCGACACTGATTATTTCTCTTTCTGTTTGCTTTTTTTATGTTTATAGAATTACCTGGATCTTGGTCTTTTAAGCCACTAATCAGGTTTATTTAATTTCATTGTTTTTAGAAAAAAGGGTTAAGGCGCAATTTATCCTTGCGCTGAATGATTAGTTTGTTATTATTATAGAAAAATGGTAAAATCTACTTTTAATGATTGTCTTGCTTTGTAAACAAAATTTCCTGGTGCTTAGGTAGCAGTAGCACATTTTACAGCCTAGAGAGTTTAAATGATGTCCTGAATCCTATACAACAAGTAGGTAAGGAGCGACGTGCTACGAGTATCCTAGCCATTGATCAATTACTAAAAAAGCCTCGATTGAGTGCGCTGGTTAGTATAATAGCAATATCTCAGCCGTATGTTAAGAGCGCGTGCAACTTGCTCCACTTGAAAGAAGTGAAACTTCTTTTGCGGTGTGTAGTATTGTGGTTTTCTTCATTTTTCACCCTTAATTCTTTTTTTTTTTTTTTTTTTTTTTTTTTNTCTGAGAGTTAATTTACTCGTCGAGCCCTTCGTCGCAAGCGACGGGTTCGACGAGAACGGTGACCGGTGCTTGAAGTACCTAAAAGCACCGTTAGTGGATCGGGAGGATCCGAGATGACGTGTTTTGGGCGACGTCGACTGCTTTCCATTCTGTCCGCAGGATCGGGAATATAGTTACCGGCGGCCACGATGAGAGGGTTCTCGTGTCTTGCCGCTTAATCGAAGTGGCGCATCGACGCCGACTGAAGATACTTACTGATGGACTCTAAGTCCAGGTCGTCATGGAGGTCGACGTTCCTGACGAACCACGGGGCTCCGACGGCTATCCTGCAAAAACGGGGTTGAATAATTTGGAAGGATTTTAAGTGAGTGCGGGCCGCGTGTGCGAACACTACACTTGCATAGGTCATGACGGGGCGTATGCAAGTTTTGTAGAGTGTCACCTTATTTCTAAGGGAATCACATACTAGCGACCCGCCATCGCTTCGCTTCGGAAACTGTAATTTATTATCGATTTCTCCACTATTTAATAGATGTTATTATACATATAAACCTTCCTCTTCAATCACTCTATCTATTAAACAAAACCGCATCAAAATCCGTTGTGTAGTTTTAAAGATTTAAGCATACATAGGGACAGAGAAAGCGACTTTGTTTTATAGTATGTAGTGATGAAGAAGTAGGTTTAGTTTAAAAACTTTGGTCGGTTTAGTGTTCAGTGGGGTCAAGGTGTTGTGGGTCTTTTCGCCTCCAGTCTGCCTCACCCTAGACTATAAGGGTCCGTTCACACTAGGAGAGCATCGGTCCGCTTTTTTTCTGTTCACACAAACCGGATCGTACACGTATGAAGATTGCACAAAGTGGGAATGAGTTGCTCGCTCCGGGTATTTCAATATTGCAATAATTGTTACGTTATAATACTCATTGTAAAAAACGAATATTTAAAAAAAATCTAATATTTAAAGAAGAAAAAAAAACGTGCCGGCTGAGTTTCTTGCCAGTTCTGCTCAGGACGGAGGTTAGTTTTTGCGAATTGGCGGTAGTTTTTTTTGACGTTCAACAAGTATGTACTTTCAATATATTATGTTGAACAATTCTTTTTTTGATTTGATTTGATATGGAATTGGCCGGAGCGGAGCCGCCAACTATTTCACATAGATATATATCGGTTACGCGAGCCAGAAAGAGGGCACAATCAGAGGCGATCGGCTCCTGTTGTTGTACTAGCATTCTTAATGATGGAAACAGTGCACATGCAAAAATTGACTTTACTACAATTACTCAAGACTGTTTCTAACGTGATAAATATCTGCTCCCTCTCCAAGCCGGTCTGTGTGAACGGACCCACAGGCGTGGGTTGAACGACAGTGGATTGTAGTCAACCCCGACATGCCCCACCTACCGCCCCCAACACGTAGAGGAAAGGCGATTCCGGTTTGATTTCTGGCATTATGCTTTACCATTGATACCTGGACCTCATGATTCAAGGTGGATAAATAAATATAAATAAATAAATATTTACTAACAATCACGCCACGTTAACTGGTCCTGTGATAAGTTCGTAAAGAACTTGTGTTACAGGTACCAGATAGCGGAAATAAATGTAAGATTTTTTTATTATACACATACACATATTTAATATACATCCATAACCCTAGAAAAGACATTTATATTTATCATACAAATATCTTCCCTTGGCGGGATTCGAACCCGCGACCCCCTTGTGTAGTGACCATGTCACTTACCACTACACCAGACGGCCGTTAATATACATAGTATACATACACGATAGACATACGCGTACCCGTCTATGGACTTCGATAGCAACCTAACAGCATATTGGGCATGAACTCCCTCGCTTGTCTATTTGTTTTCCTTACCTGTTCAATGATAGCCTATGCACCTTTTCTGGCTACGCGTGGACGGGTATGAGAGTTCACGGGGTTAACCCTATGAGAGCTGGCTAACTCTAGTCCTAGCATGAGCAGTGCTTCGCAGAATCTACCACCAGATCGGAATCGCGACCCACTGAGAAGATCAGGCGAGAAACTGAGTGGGCTACCTGTCTATGTTATGTTTTGAAAATAAATGGTAATAACTGCTTATAATTTAAAATTATATTTTTTTTTCATTTTTTTAATGATGTACTAATTTTATATCTGTTATATATGCATAGACCAGTGATTCTCAACCACTGTTCCGCGGCACTTTTGTGTGCCGCCAAATTTCAAAAGTGTGCCGCCAAATTTTGCGAATATATAATAATGTTAATATTATTAAATTATATCATTTTAAAAGAAAAATATTTTAAACATGAATATATATTTAAATGAACAAAAAAAAAAAAAGGATATTTTAGTTTATTTCGTATATTAATATTTTTTGATAAACTATTTATGCAGAGTGTTGTAGTAAGTAAATAATTTTTATCTTTTTTTTTGTGTGCCGCCAAATTTTGAAATCGTTAAATATGTGCCGCAACAAAAAAAACGGTTGAGAATCACTGGCATAGACACTTATAAATATAATTTATACTTTATAATACATATAAATATATATAATATAGTTTATATATAAAACATAGATTTTATTGTAAGACCTATACTCGGCAAATAATTATTTATCTGACTCATTTTAATCTTGGACTCATTCTCAGTAGTTCTGAGACTACTTCTATCAGTTAATGGTCTAACACTTAATGGTCTGTTAATTTATTCAAGAAAATAGTATATTAATGGAAACATACAATTAAAGTTATATTTAAAGTACATTAAAGTTGTTTATAAATATAAAGTTATATTTTTGACATTGTTTATTTACTATCCAAAATAATACAGCAAAAAAATCCTAGCCTAGGATTCCATTGAAAGGAGAGTGTTTATATCACATAAAACACTTTTAAAGCATTTTAGCATGGCCAATTGTGACATCGCACAAAAATATGCTCTATGAGTATGAACAGTTAAAAAGCTGCTTAATATGTTTCAATCAATTCAGAGTAGAGAGCTATATATTTTATTGAGTTTTTTAATTTTTTTTTTTTTTTTTTTTTATTGCCCTTATAGGCAGACGAGCATACGGCCCACCTGATGGTGAGTGGTTACCGTCGCCCATGGACTTCAGCAATGCCAGGGGCAGAGCCAAGCCGCTGCCTACCGTAATGCATGGATCACTGTGTTTTGATGATCTATTTATTTTGTATAAGATTTCAGCGATTTATATTTCACTTCATGACACATCTCTTTCTTTTTCAATATTTTAAGTCTTAAAAATTTAAAACAGTGAATACAAAAGGTTTTCATGTTTTTTTTTGGGTTATTAACAGCTGCATAGTTTGACTACTTTGAAAATCTTGCACATTGAATGTTTGCACTTAAATTATATGTACATGCACTCTCTAAGTACTATTTTTAACTATAAAATAAATCGCAAGTTGTGTTACAATTTTTATTTGTTGATAAGACGAAGCACGTAACCTCCTTGTTGAATACGAATTTAGAAGTGTCTCACGAAACACTGGATAACTGAGATAATATTATGTAAAGACAGTGGGTGATCAATGATCTTTAAGTGTTTTGAGATAAAGATCATAATATACTTTTTCTCAAAACAATAATTATAAGTTAAAGTCGCACGAAGTTTCTCATTACACAACACTGGACCTGTCGTGTTAATATAAAACAATAAAAACCTTTTCGGAACATGATGTAGATTAACGCGCTCCGGTTTAAAACTATATTTAGTGATTTTTATGTTTTAATCATTATTAAAATGTAATATTTCAAACGTATTAATTAAAGATTTTTAGTATTAAATTATAAAAAATCAGCGGATGATACAGAATTTATCTTACTTACCAAATCCGAAATTTTCAGATCGATGTCTCCAGAAATTTTCACCGATTTCGATTAATACGATTATTAAACTGTAAATATGGGTATTTTTACTTTAGATTATATTTTGATTCAAGGGCACGCCTACTGCCTAATTAATTAAGTTAATAAATAAGAATTACAGGCGATATTTAATACGAAAAGAGGAAAAAAGTCTCTGCTCATTTAATTAACCTTCGACACTGATTATTTCTCTTTCTGTTTGCTTTTTTTATATTTATAGAATTACCTGGATCTTGGTCTTTTAAGCCACTTGTCAGATTTATTTAATTTCATTGTTTTTAGAAAAAAGGGTTAGGGCACAATCTATCCTTGCGCTGAATGATTAGTTTGTTATTATTATAGAAAAATGGTAAAATCTATTTTTAATGATTGTCTTGCTTTGTAAACAAAATTTTCTGGTGCTTAGGTAGCAGTAGCACATTTTACAGCCTAGAGAGTTTAAATGATGTCCTGTATCCTATACAACAAGTAGGTAAGGAGCGATGTGCTACGAGTATCCTAGCCATTGATCAATTACTAAAAAAGCCTCGATTGAGTGCGCTGGTTAGTATAATAGCAATATCTCAGCCGTATGTTAAGAGCGCGTGCAACTTGGTCCACTTGAAAGAAGTGAAACTTCTTTTGCGGTGTGTAGTATTGTGGTTTTCTTCATTTTTCACCCTTAATTCAAAATTCTCTTGTAATATTGGGAGTGCTGTGTATAAGAGAAATGACCTAGCTTTTTTTTTTTTATTGCTTAGATGTGTGGACGAGCTCACAGCCCACCTGGTGTTAAGTGGTTACTGGAGCCCATAGACATCTACAACGTAATGCGCCACACACCTTGAGATATAGTTCTAAGGTCTCAGTATAGTCACAACGGCTGCCCCACCCTTCAAACCGAAACGCATTACTGCTCCACGGCAGAAATAGGCCGGGCAGTGGTACCTGCCCGTGCGGACTCACAAGAGGTCCTACCACCAGTAATTACGCAAATTATAATTTTGCGGGTTTGATTTTTACTGCACGATGTTATTCCTTCACCGTGGAAGTCAATCGTGAACATTTGTTGAGTACGTATTTCATTAGAAAAATTGGTACCCGCCTACGGGATTCGAACACCGTTGCATCGCTACATACGAATGCACCGGACGTCTTATCCTTTAGGCCACGACGACTTCTTGCTTGCTTTATCCTTTCCTTCTTTCCACGGTCGAGTGGTTCGCGAGACGCTCCGTCTATTTTCTCACTCTCGCTCTTCCTAAATTGTATCTTTATTCTCTAGCCCCAACGAGTCTGTCGTGAATTAAATTTTACTCTCAACGCACCTAAAGAAATTTCACTTCAAAAATAATAATGCCAGAGGCAATTTATCTATCCTGTTTTTACACCCATGGCGAATAAATTATGCACAATACGCTAAAGGTATGGGTGTTGGTGTAACAATTGATGGCGTATAATTTCAAACTTGAAGTTTGTAGATTATTAGCACGGGAAAAGGAATGGAGGAGTTGCTACAACACTTAATTTCCGTTGATCAGTAAATGGAATTCACTTTTAAACACGCCAAAAAAATATATCATAATCAACACAAATCTAACACCCTAAGTGGTCATCAGGTTTTTGTTTTGATCTTTTAGGCGGACGAGCATGCGGCCCACCTGATTGTGAGTGGTTGCCGTCGTCCATGGACGTAAACAATGGTTAGGGGCAGAGCCAAGCCGCTGCATACTAGGCTATGGGATAATGGTAGTCATCATGGCCTAAAGGATAAGACGTCGGGTGCATTCGTATCGAGCGATGCATCGGTGTTCGAATCCCACAGGCGGGTACCAATTTTTCTAATGAAATACGTACTTAACAAATGTTCACGATTGACTTCCATGGTGAAGGATTAGCAAAGTGTAATAAAAATCAAACCCGCAAAATTATAATTTGCTACGCAGTTTGACAAATAATATTACACGCATTACTGACGCGTTTCACTGTGCTACTGGTCAACGAAAGCAATGAGAGCTCGTCGAGAAAGCGTTTCTTCCAGTTGATCAAATCCTTAAAAATGAGCGAGCATCTTAAAATGGAGGAAGAATTAGGCTGTGAAAACTAAATGAACTCCTTTCTTTAATTTTATGAAAATGAAATTGCTCGACACCTATGACACGACACCAGCAGCAATTTAAACAAAATAGCTAGACGTAGCTTCACGGGCTCTTTCAAGAAATTCGCTGAAGTACCAGTAAATTCCCATCAGCTTACTAAGAGGATATTTAATTTTATCTCACCAAAAACCTACGATCTTACGGTCTCATCTTATCTGTATTAATTCTATTTCATTTCATTACCTATTCAATTAATTTCATTTGATTACATTCCATTACAACTAGATATAGTTTTAGATGTCTTTAAAAAGTTTTGGGTATAGCATAGCCTGTATAGCTCAAGTTCTCTATGCCTATTGTATCAATGACTTAAAAAAATCTATTATTTATGTAAAACTTCAAACTATCTTCAAACAAATTTTGTTTGAAGTTTTGTGTCCCGGGAACTTAGAATGAAATGAACATGTCATGAATTAAAATAAAAAATACGAATCTTCTCTCAGATATTAAGTATCTAAATATCAAGTAATACTATGCTATCAAGTGCTAGAGCTGCTCGCATCGCGCGTGAAGTGAAGAATTTTGAAATGAAGCCACCTTGGGGGATTAGTTGTTTTCCGTTAAAAGACGATCAGTATGACAACCTGTCCGTTATTCTTCTTGGACCAAAGGGATCTCCTTATGAGAAAGGAACGTTCAAATTAACTGTGTCTATCCCGGAAAGATATCCGTTCGAGCCTCCTTTAGTTAAATTTATAACACCAGTTTATCATCCTAATATTGATAATGGTAGGTATCAATAAGCTTATAATGATGTAGTTAAGTAGGGCACACGGTTCACCTGGTATTAAATGGTTAACTGTAATGTACTGGGCTATACTGACTGACGGTTATTGTGGACCATTGTGAAATACGCGAAGATCGGACGATCACGACAGAAATAGAATGGTGTTACCTATTTGGGCTCACTTAAGACCTACCGCCATGCCTTTTGTGTCAGGCGTTCAGACAGTGCTATTCCAGGTCAACATCAGACTGTGACAAATTTGTATTAGATTAATATTATATTTGCCTGAAATAACAATAAGAAGGAAGTGATTAAGCACTTGTATTACACTTAAGTAAACTTGTAAATTTGGTTTATTGAGAATGGTTAACTAAACTTGGAGAGTATATGAGTAATCATCGGTCTCAATAGGTATTGAGATAGAATTATTATAATCATGTTTATAATTTAAACAATAACTATGAATTAACTACTATAGAAAAACATACTAAACTGTTTATCAATCATAAACTAAAAAAAAACAAGCAACAGTAAATAAAAATAAAACACTACACTTTCCAATATTCTAATTTATTTTGCAGGAGGAAGAATATGTATGGACCTGTTAAAAATGCCACCAAAAGGTACTTGGTTACCGACGATCACATTGGAAACATTACTTGTTTCATTGCAATCACTCCTCGCGAACCCAAACCCTGATGACCCACTGATGATGGATATCGCTTATGAGTATAAATACAACATGGATACTTTTATTCAGAATGCCAAACAACAAACTGAGAAATATGCTGTGTGATATCAGGACTAATGATAACATAAAAAATGTTAACTTGAATTTATTATTAAGTTACAAGGAATAGATGATTTAAAGAGTACTTAAAATGTAGGCCGTATTTGTTTTTATATGCCCTTTGTTTTATATGTGTATGTTTCAAACTTTCAGGATACTTATAGGATACTTTCACAATTTTAGATGCATCTCATCAAACATTAGCTAAAATAAAAAAAATTGTATTAACCTTAAACCGTAAATAAAATGCTGTTAGTGTAATGATAATGTGTACCTAGGCATTGTCTTGATATCTGCAATGAGTATTAAGCTGTGTATAAAATATATGCTAACAAGATATTTTTATATGATATATTCCATTATTAATAGAAAATACAAAATTAGTACCTGTTATAATAATTTGTGATATTGATAAGAGAAGTGCCCATACAATATTTAAAAAAAAAGTGTTTGTTACAACTTTTGTTTTTCTTCTGATTTTCTGTTTTTATTTTTATTAAACTGTTTGTGTTAGATCAAAGGTGTTGGTACTGCAAACCTGCATATTTCACAAAGTAGTTGTGGGTATAACCTTCATCATGGTATAACTGTGTACAGACAATATTCCTATACTGTGTGCTGCGCTAGAAATAAGACAACAGGGATATGAACTCACTCTGATAAACTGCATACATAGCCAGTGCATCAATTGCAGGAATGCAACTGACGATTTGGACTTTGAAAGTGAATACATATAAGTGTCAATATCTGTCACAAGACTGGTCCATTTTACCTTTGATATAGTCGTTTTTGCATATATGGACTTGTTTTTTTTCCCCTACCAATTTGCTGGTAGCTTAAGAAGTTATTCCAGCTACGACCGGAAGGGTAGGCGAGCTCACAGGCTCAATCTAAGAGAATTTGCTAACATTAGCCCTAGCATTAGTAGTTCCTTGCAGAATCTACCTGCGGATCGGAAAACGCGACTCACTGAGAAGATCCAGTGAGAAACTCACGCTGTAATGGACTTAAGTCGACACTACTTACTTCATGCGCAATGGAAGATTATTGCTTGATTATGTAAATTTTTGCAACACAGGTTGTGTTGTAGTATAATCAATCAATATAACCAATCAAATCAATAAAAATATACAATACTTATTTTTTATTGTACAACATGGTACATATTAATTTACTTAAATATAAATTAATGGCTACATCACAGTAGTCTAGATAACAAAACAAACTATTAGTTTAATTGTGGGCTGATTTTTCAATCACTGCATCGAAATTATTAATTAATAACATTAAAAGGTAACCGAATTTTTCAAACAATTTTCAACACATATATCCCACTTGAATATAAAATTATTCTAGTGTTTAATATACGTAGTGTATTTGTTGGTTAGTAAAATTACATAAATATATAAATCTTATAAAATCTAGAAAAATCAGTACTTAACACATTATTATAAAAATAATAATTAAAAGTCGAGGTTATTAAGTCATTGCCTGTCATTTAAATTTCGATTCAATATAGTTTATCAAATATACGCACAAGGCAGTTCGCAAGCTGATATTTCTAGAGTTAAGTTCTGTTTGCAAAAACTGATTATTTAACTATGCAATATATAACAAAATATGATGACTTTCTTGTAGTTGTTCCACTTGGAACCTGGTTAAGCATTTAAAAAAAAATTAAGATTGCTATTGGGTCTCCATTTTTAATATATATTATTAGTAATGATTTTACCTGAATTTGACTGTCATTCTTTATTGTAATCAACAAAAAATCTAGTTATTGAAAACTCCATAGCTTTTATAAACGTTTTAGATTTGACTAATGAAAAAACAGAACCAGTTTTCAACCTGTATCAGTACTACTATCATCACCGGAACTGGCACTCTCAGTTTCCGAGGAACTACTGGTCCTGACCTTTGGACATGCAGGTTTTTTTTCTGAGCCGGCCACACTAGATTCAAAGCTTTTATTGTCTTTTTTCTTAGATTTCTTATTATAATTAGTCGGTTTCAGTGTCTCAGTTGAGACTGTAGCAACCATCTTTGATTCAGGCTTCGCCTCTGATGGCTTCAGATCTTCGTCATCTACGAGGGGTTTACGATTTGCAAGCGACTCTGCAACCGCTTCTTTGTATGCTTCTGGGTATTGAGAACTGAAAATTAATTATTTTTTAATGTAAATAAGTTTCCCTCAACTGTGGCATATCAGATGGTCTTTTTGAGTGATGTAAAATAATGTTTTATTAAATTTTCTTTTAATGATCATGAGCTCATTAGGTCAATTCTTCTCACAGAATTATGATTCAATAGTTGAAGCCTTAAGCTAAATTTATTGATTCATTACTTTCAGATTGACTACCTGAGCTCAGAGTAAATGTTTTGTTACACAAGAGTCCAAATAACTATTGCATACTATTATATTAAACCGCACTGCTGTATTATGTAGTCTACAAACTGCAGTAATAGCAGATAAGCTATGAACTGTTTACCCATTATGGCCGAAAATACCACATTTTACGAAAGTACCACATTTTTTTAATTTATGAATCTACTACTAAGCAGATTCTTTATTTCTTCTATTACAGTCAGAGAGTATGAGAACATGAATAATCTGATGACGTGAGATCTCCTCCACTCATAGATATCAACGATCTCAGGGGAACACTACTGATTACTACGGAGGGCTTTTTTAAGCCTTTAAGCCTTGTTTAATTTATTTACACTATATACTTCTTATTATTATAAAGCCAAACACAAACTGTAAATTTTGGCATATTGTTTTTCTTTTTTATAAACAAATCAAACAAACCTGAGCTTGGTTTTAATTGCCCGAATTTTCTTAAATATGAATTCCAAATCCTTCCTCATTTCGAACAGTAGTTGTGTGTGTTTCTTGAACTCTGTGGATGCAGCCCTTAATCTACTGGCCGACAGCTGATTACAATTTGTCAGCATTTCTGTTGTTTTTTCGAATCTCTGCAACCTAAGAAAGCTTTATTCGAGTGGGATTTATTTGGTAACATCACCTTGTCAAATAATTTTGTTCTGCTGAGGCAGAAAATATAAAAATGAATTATGAGAGATATAAATTAAAATGCCCATATACTGTATTTTAAGGTGACTTAGATGCCATTTACACAGGAGTGTTTCATTTAAGAGGGCAATTTGGTATGCTGAATATTTAAAACAATAAAAGTGGAGTGTTAGTATTTCGATTTCATTAATTTCTGATACATATTTTATTTCAGTGAGTGTATCATTAAATTTCATACTGATTTTAATTTGTTGCTCAGAAATAATTTTTAAGTTTGAAAAAATTAATAGGTATAATAATTAGGAATTCGCTTTTTTGGTTCAAGTTAAATTCTCAATTGGCAATGGCCACAAATATTCGATCGTACTTACATATTCTTTTGTGCTCGAATAATCACTTCAACGTCAGTCTGATCCACCATACCGGCTAGGCCTTGTACAAAAACTTCGGGCGCAGTGTAGTTCTGGAAGCATTCTATCGAGAAATCACTTTCTGGAGTACCGTTCGCCATTATTTACTGTTTTCGTACACAATGCATTATATTTATACACAAATTTCTTGATATTTTGGTCTCTCTAATACAAGCAAATGTGTCTAATGTGTCAGTGTCAGTATAAAAGTAGTTTTATTTTTTCAATTGGAAAGGCAAAGGTATCATACCATACAGCTGAATCTTTATATATTTTTTTATCTGAAAAATGATATTAAGAAATGAAATGAAATTAAATCATATGAAATGAGATGAGATTCTTGGAGTTTGAATATGTAAGTAATGGCAGGTAACACGTATGGTTACAGTTTTCGAATATTGGAATGTTTATTTAAATGTTTAAAACAGACGATTGTCTTCTCTTCAGTGATGACAATGACTTCTCATCTAGACACGGACAGTGCAACATCTTAGGCTTTTATAAAAATAAAATACTGTAATAGTGTACAAAGTATTTGCAATATCATTATATTAACCATGAAGCAGTGTTTTTTAAATAGCCCCTGTAGACGCGAGATGAACAAACTACGAAAATATTTGAAATTTGGTCGTTGCAAATGAAGGACACACACTGCGGGAAGAAACGATAAGAAGCGGCAGTTCTGCGTTAAAGGAAGGATGCACAATACCTTTATGTAGTTCTTGCTGCAGACTCGTACCACTTCGCGATGAGAAACACCAACGATTTCACTTATTTACGTATTTAACATAACAAAGACACGAAGCGCGCGCGCGGTTGTTCAGCCATATTTTTTCGTCTCGATGTCACCACACGATCTCGCTCGCACGCGTCCGTAGGTAAAGTGCCGGAGAGGGATGGGACAGGATTTGCAAAACCAAATTAAAATGNATTTAACATAACAAAGACACGAAGCGCGCGCGCGGTTGTTCAGCCATATTTTTTCGTCTCGATGTCACCACACGATCTCGCTCGCACGCGTCCGTAGGTAAAGTGCCGGAGAGGGATGGGACAGGATTTGCAAAACCAAATTAAAATGTTGCTATTTTTCGAAACCTAAAACTAACTAAGTTTTAAACCAGCGCAACCAGCCCCTCATCTCCTACAGAACCCAATCCCCTCAAACAAAACCGTCTAACAGAGATGATATGGAATGAAATATAATCTCAGTAAAATGGTGGTCATTTACTGAGATTTTTTCAGTGGACATTTTGGAGGATCCCGAGAACTTACGTCCAGCGTCTTTGTTTCATTTTCCCACATTTGTGCACGTTCACAGATATTAAACAGTTAAGAAACCACCGTTATTACACAATTGAACCCGAAGAAACACTAAATAGACAAAATAAAACAAATCACACAACTTCAATCCTCGCGCTCCCGCCAAAAAGTCCTCATATATTTTTCTCGTAAAACTAGCAAAGAGTAGATATTTAACACATACGTTAAGCCCATGTTAACAAAGATGCTATATTTGGAGCTGAATTGTTGATAAACCACCCACCATTAAGTTATTTCGAATTAATCGACTTTTATTAGAATTATTGTTTTCGGTCTTCACAAGTCGTAGGCATAGTTATATAAATTTTTACGATTAAATCTCGCATTGTACCGTCATTCGATTGTTTCTGATATTTCGAATATTTTACAGTTTTGGTGATTCGTCGACACAGATTGTTTGTCAGTCCGCGTGTACCTACGGATTTTGTTTATATGAACATTGATATGGATTTACTTTGGCTTTGTTTTGGCTGCCCAGAGAAAATTGCGACGGTTATAGAGATAAACAGATCGATACACATTAGTTTAAAGTATTTTCTAGATGAACAGGGACAAGTCATATTCAGACAACAATGTACCATCCGGCCGCCAACGAAATGATCGAAAGATTCCACCGCCAGCTCAAATCGGCAATTATGAGCTACGACAACGATGCATAAGACGAGATTCTGCTTTGGGTACTTCTTGGACGATTTTACAGCCCACCTGGTGTTCAGTGGTTATCGCAGCCCATAGACATCTACGGCGTAAATGATGCTACCCACCTTGAGATATAAGTACTAAGGTCTCAGTTTAATAACAACGGCTGTCCCACCTTTCAATCCGAAACACATTACTGCTTCAGAGCAGGAATAGGCTTGATGGTGGTACCTATTCGTGCGGACTCACAAGAAGTCATACTACCAGTAGGAAAAAGGTTTGATTTTTTTTATTACAAGATGTTATTTCTTCACCATGGAAGTCAATCGTGAACATTTATTAAGTTTTTTTTAATTTTTATTGCCTTTGTAGACAGACGAGCATGCGGCCCACCTGATGGTGAGTGGTTACCGTCGCCCATGGACTTCAGCAATGCCAGGGGCAGAGCCAAGCCGCTGCCTAAGTAGGTACATCTTTCATTAGAAAAATTGGTAATTGCCAGCGGGACTCGGACACCGATGCATCGCAAGATAAGAATGCAGCGGAAGTCTTATCCTGCAGGCCACGACAAATTCAAACTTCTTACACGAATGAACGATCTCAATGTCCATCTGATGTCAAGTGATTACTGCAGCCCAGAGATGTCAACAGCGTCAGTGCCGCCAACCGGTTTGAGTCATAAGTTCTAAATCTCAGTTCTATAGTACGACCCCTTCAAACTGGAATACATTACAGCTTGACGGTAGTACTAAGCAGGGTAGTGGTACCTATCCGTAAATCCAACAAGGATACGTGGTACATATCCGTGCGGGCTCACAAGACGCTCTACCACCAGTAATTGAGAAAATTATAATTTTTGCGGGTGTTATTGTTATGTTGACACGATGTAATTCCTTCACTGTGGAAGTAAATAGTGAACATGTGTTATGTACCATTGGACATCTGTCAAATGTCTTGTGTCCTATGATAGCTACCGCCACAATCGCATCGTTCGCAGCTGATGTAGAGTTCACCCTTATTATCTGGAGTCACTGTTTTTTTTTTCAGAAAGGTGTGCGGGCATTTGTTCTTCCAGGAAGATGGTTTTTTAATCATCCGCCCGAGCACCATCGAAGGAGACCTAACAACTCAAGAGCAGCTGCTTCGCGAATGCACTACGGAATGGGAATCGCGACCAGCTGAGAAGATTCAGCGAGAAACTCAGCGAGCTGATGTATGGGTTAGGTTCCACGTTGAACTTTGATGAGTACAAGTACGGTTACCAGGGTCGCCACGTCCATGCACTTAATACTAGAGCTGCACAAGCTAATGACAATGTCAGTGGATCGGATGTATTGGAATGTGTTCTTTCGCGTACTTTTCCAGTGATACATTTGATAGGTACCATTCCAACCTTGAAGCTGGATACCACGGTGTTTCCCGAAGAATCGGATATGTGCTTCAAACCAGCTTTAATATATATTAGTCAGAGGTAAGCAGCGGCTTTGCTATGCCGTTGGTATTGGATATGTCGCCGACGGATATCTACCTCATTAAGAACGTCCGTATGCACGCGTCCCTTCAAAGGTAAGAAAACCATGATACCGTTAAGTATAATGAATTTATTATCATTCTTTGTATTTATTATGGGTCTTAATAATTTTCATTCAGCGTCATTTGTGTATACAGCTTGTCCTAAACCTTGAACCTGTAATTGAAATGGCAGACCGTAGTTTGTCTTGTGTAGATCACCGCTTCTCCTGTAAATTTGTTTTTTCTTTAATCTATTCGTGTGCTTCGATGGCGAGTAAGGTTTTGCTTTGACGTTTTTAGTTACCAATTTTTTGTATAGGGCTATCGGAACATAAACATTATTGTTAGCCTCATGGTGAGGCGCTAGGCGAGTTTCATTCTTTATTCCGGTCAAGAATTTTTCAATGCTCTGAGCCTTGTGGATTTCCTCTAGACATTGCTGTTCAATGCTCCTAATAACCGTGGTCATGCTGTCAACTAGATATGCTGTTAAGTCTGATATCATCTGATCCTTGGATTTTTTATGTTTCCCGCCAAATTTGGGTTTCTGTGCGGTATTTTTCCCCCTGTTATTGACTGGCCTGTTTTTAAATACTTTATTGGTTCTATAAGATTTACTTTTTTCGTTTCTATTTTTAGTTATCATTTTATTTCTAACTGATAGATTTCTTTTGTCGTAAATGTCGTCTCTCAAATAATTTGTGATACCGTCGTCTGTAGGAGTTCTGCAGAGCGCCCTCAACAAACGATCCTCTTCGTGGCCTTTCCTAAAGTTGGCCTTTGAATTGAAACGACAATAACTGCTTCGACAAGTCGGATTCGTAATTAAATCCTCAAATTTTCTGCAACCGAATCTGTAGAATGGCGCTAGATTGTCATTTACAATCTGTATTTTTCGGTCAAGCAAAGGGTTCGTTGGGTCTTGTGTTTCGGCATCGCGCTGATTCGTTGGGCGCGGATATAAATATTTGATGTTTCTATCCTTCTCCGTAATCCTGTGGTCGTCAAAATGCGGGACTATAGCTTCCTCGTAATTTGCATTAAATTGATCATCGTTCGACATTATCCCGTTCCACAATTGTATTTGTTTTAATAATTCATCATTACTCCTTTTTGCCGTTGTAGTTACAACACAAAACGATATTATGTTAATGAGAAGTCTTCTCATTTTTTGTTTTATTAATCTGAAAGAATAGGTAACACTGAAATAGGTACTAAAGTTTTATCGGGAATATTTTAGTACCTATGTACGTAGGTACTTGATTATTAATTGAAAATAAAATCTTGAGAAGTTACAAATTCGGAATTGATTAAATTCGAATTTTAATTGTGCATGAAATCGAATTTCCTCCGTATCAAAAATAAAACATTGATCATAAAAGAAAAGAAAAAACTGAAATGAGTATTTACTCCGAAAGTTTTTTCAAGTTAAAAAAAAACACTTTAAAATTTTTTGTTGAGTAACTTTGATGAACATGATTTCCACAATAATGTACGGACTTATCGTCCTCATCGCCTCTGACATTGTTGATGTCGTAAAATAGATCGTATGCTGATTTTGAAAGTAATAAGTAATAAGTGAAGCAGTAATGCGTTGCGGTTTGAAGGGTAGGGCAACCGTTGTAACTATACTTGAGACCTTAGAACTTATATCTCAAGGTGGGTGGCGCATTTACGTTGTAGATGTCTATGGGCTCCAGTAACCACTTAACACCAGGTGGGCTGTGAGCTCGTCCACCCATCTAAGCAATAAAAACAAATGTCTATATGTTAAGATTAGCCCACTATAACGTTTTTATGCTAATCAAATTTGTTCTAAAATAAAGCATTATTTGTGAACTATTCCACGCGGACAAAGTCGCGGGTAAACGCTAGTATATCATATCATCCGTAATGAGAGCTCATTGGAACGATTAATGGTTCAAGGAAGAGTAGACGGTCAACGCTCTCGCGGCCGATCACCCACAAGGTGGACAGACTTGATTAAGTCATCTACTAAGCGTTCCCTTACTGAATGTACACGTACCGCCACAAATAGAAAGAAGTATCTCAAAAGCCGCATCCAAGCAATAAGACATACATAATCACGAAGAAGAAGTTATGTCGACGACTCGTGATATTTGAGGTAAATAATATATTTAAAAGGAATTTATTAATAGGAATTGTTTGAGAGGGATCCTCATCTGGTTTTTATCATCGCACCTCCCGCCATCGGAGCAGCGTTCCATATTATCTGGAACTGCTGCGTTCATTGACAGTGCGTTTCCAGAGGTCTTTTTTGCCACGTACCATCGGGCTATTGAATGAGCTCCCCTCCACGGTGTTTCCCGGGCGCTATCACATGTCCTTCTTCAAACGAGGCTTGCGGAGAGTTCTTAACGGTAGACAGCGGCTTGGCTCTACCCATGACATTGCTGAAGTCCATGGGCGACGGTAATCGCTCACCATCAGGTGGGCCGTATGCTCGTCTGCCTACAAGGGCAATAAAAAAATAATATTGTAGACTTTTTTATATTTCATTTTACTCAGAACGAACTAACAGCATCTTGAAGTTGGGCAGTTTGATTGACTTATGCAAGTTTAATTATTGCGAAAAACGAAGAAATTACTAGACACTAGTATGTAGAATAGTCTTATATTTTTTTTTATTCCTTAAAATAATCAATAAGAAACGAAAAGAGAAGATATACTCCACAAACAGAATGTGAATCTTGAAAATTTGACCTGAGCTGTAAAGGTTTCTTTAGGCGAAGTTCCGGAGCCAACTAATTTTGAAATAATAGTGCAAAGCCTTCGAATGTGATTTTTAATTGTTGCCCTGACGATAATCAGCGTCATTTTGAAACACCCTGTATATCTGTTAAGTATAGATTAGATCAGTGGTCGGCAAATTTTTGCTCCAGAGCTACATGTGGCTCTTTGGCTCCTAAGTGCGGCTCTGCATTTAGTGTACTACTAATTCAGTTTAATAAAAGTTTAATAAACAAGCAGAATTTGAAGTCGTGGCCTAAAGGATAAGACGTCCGGCGCATCCGTGTTGAGCGATGCACCAGTGTTCGAATCTCGCAGGCGGGTACCAATTTTTCTAATACGTACTCACCAAATGTTCACTATTGACTTCCACGGTGAAGGAATAACATCGTGTAGTAAAAATCAAATCCTCAAAATTATAATTTGCGTAATTACTGGTGGTACTTTTGTGAGTCCGCGCGGGTAGGTACCACCAGCCCGCCTATTTCTGCCGTGAAACAGTAATGCGTTTCGGTTTGAAGGGCGAGTTACCCGTTGTTACTGAGACCTTAGAACTGATATCTCAAGGGGGGTGGCGCATTTACGTCGTAGATGTCTATGGGCTTCAGTAACCACTTAACACCAGATGGGCTGTGAGCTCGTCCATCAATCTAAGCAATAAAAAAAAAGATTTGGCTCCCAATTGTTATTTTTTTATTTTTGTAAAGTTCATATTTGGCTCTCTGGCTAATAAGTTTGCCGACCACTGGGTTAGGTATGCGCATAAAAACACTGAAATATAATTTGTTATTCCTTTAATTCCTCGGGTATCTGTAAATGTCCGACTATCTCCATCGTGATGGGTACCGCGTAATGCATCAGAATTTCGCTTTCAAGATCAGGCTTGTTGTATCTCCTCGCGAAGTCATTTCCGTCGTGTAGACTGCGTACCGTGGCTTGTAATCTTCTATTAAATTGTGAATTCTTTACTAGCTTTTGAAGATTTTCTTCGAAATCATCCTCATTTTTGTTATTCTGCACCATGGTGTCGTGATAGGCGAAGTCCGTGTTGGATTTACGAGCTTTTCCTACTGATGCGGCAGGATTGCTCTTTCTCGAAGCGTAAAGGATATTCTTTAAGGCATTCACGACGGAATGGTGGGTGTTAGATTTACGCGCGTCGTTTTCCATGTTTCTGCGGTAGAACAAAATTACCCTCGTTTATTCAGTCACACGACTGGTTCATTGGCTGGAGATTGGCTCACAAGAAACGATGAGTGTGTCTGTGGCCTTTGGTAACGGTTAATGAAATATTTCAAAAAAGTTTTTGCTGGTTGGTAAAAAATGTGTCTAATAAGAGGTTTTTTTTATTGCTTTAGTGGGTGGATATTACATTACATTAGGGATTCCCTGGACAGCACATTGCACCAACGTGTCGATCCTTCAAGAAGTCCAGATAAAGATGAGGCTTTCTACCATCTGCCTATTTAGAGTTCTGGAATACTTTGGCCACATTGCAAGAAACGATAACGACAGCTTGCAGAAGCTAATGGTGACTGACAAGGTGGGCGGAAGAAGACCACGAGGTAGAGGCCCGACACGTTGGACTGACCAGATCTGCGCTACCCTCGACACCACAGTTCACGATGCTCTATCCTCGGCGGCAGATAGAGGCAAATGGCGTGGAATGATCCGGAATAAACTCTTATTGCGAGGCGGTGGTTACGACCCTCAGTATTGAGGAAACCGAAGCAAGAAGAAGAAGGGTGGACCGGCTTATCGCCTATTTGGTGGTACGTGGTTACCGTAGTCCATATACCTACATCAACAAGAGTAATATCGCCACTCACCTCGAGACATGAGTTCTAAGTCTCGGCTCTATAGTATAATGGCTGCTTCACCCTCGAAACCAGAGCGGAATTTGCTGTTTCACAACAGAAATAGGAAGAGTGGTGGTACCTACCCGTCCGGGCTCACAAGGATCCCTGCCACCAGTTTACCTACCACCAAGTATGTGTGCATATGAATTTCAATTTTGTAGGTTCCATTTTAAATTGTAATGATTTAATTAAGCTTGATTATTTTAATGGTATCATGCTTCGCTCGTGTGGACCATACTTTATATCGCATGGATCCGGAAAAGTAGCCCGTGTAAATCAAAATTACTTTTACGTTATCGTTAATACTTTAAAGTTTTTGTGGTCAACGGCTTATAACTAGTCAGGTCATAAGTATTGTCACACAGTAAAAACTTTTTTTTTAGAATGCTGGCCACAAAAAGAGTTTATTGAATTCGAATTTCGAATTGTTCATGAAAATAAAAATGTATACTTTTAGAATTTTACTCATTTTTAAATATGGAGTGGACGCTTAAAAAAGACCGTGTTGCAGTTATTGCGTTGCATCGTTGCGGTTACGCGCCAATTCAAATTTTTAACATACTGAAAAATTTGAATATAACCAAAAGATTCGTTTATCGTACCATTAAACGATACAATGAAGACTCTAGTGTAGATGACAGGTCAAGAAGTGGTCGCCCTCGGTCTGTTAGGACTCCAGCAGTGATAAAAGCTGTGAAGGCGCGAATTCAAAGAAATCCCAAACGTAAGCAGAAACTGTTGGCCCTTCAGATGGGGTTAAGCAGAACCACGGTGAAAAGGGTGTTAAATGAAGACTTAGGGCTTCGGGCATATCGAAGAAAAACAGGACATCGTTTGAATGCTCGTCTAATGGACCTGAGACTGAAGAGATGCCGCGCTTTGTTGAAGCGGTACGCGGGAAAAAAATATCGGGAAATTCTTTTTTCGGATGAAAAAATTTTTACCGTAGAAGAGAGCTACAACAAACAAAATGATAAGGTGTACGCACACAGTAGTGAAGAAGCGAGCAACCGTATTCCGCGTGTCCAACGAGGTCATTTTCCATCCTCGCTCATGGTATGGTTGGGAGTTTCTTATTGGGGCTTAACAGAGGTACATTTTTGTGAGAAAGGTGTAAAAACGAATGCAGTTGTGTATCAAAATACAGTCCTGACGAACCTTGTGGAACCTGTTTCTCATACCATGTTCAATAACAGGCACTGGGTATTCCAACAAGATTCGGCGCCAGCTCATAGAGCGAAGAGCACACAAGACTGGCTGGCGGCGCGTGAAATCGACTTCATCCGGCACGAAGACTGGCCCTCCTCCAGTCCAGATTTGAATCCGTTAGATTACAAGATATGGCAACACTTGGAGGAAAAGGCGTGCTCAAAGCCTCATCCCAATTTGGAGTCACTCAAGACATCCTTGATTAAGGCAGCCGCCGATATTGACATGGACCTCGTTCGTGCTGCGATAGACGACTGGCCGCGCAGATTGAAGGCCTGTATTCAAAATCACGGAGGTCATTTTGAATAAACTTTAGTGTCATAAGAATCTATGTTTTGTTAAGTTCATTTTGGTATATGAATGGTTACATAATGAATAAACTTGTTTCAATTATTTTACATTAAACATGTGACAGAATTTATGACCTGACTAGGTACATACGGAATACATCGTGTAGTAAAAATCAAACCTGGAACATTATTAGTTGTGTAATCACTGGTGGTAGGACCTTTTGTGAGTCCGCGCGGGTAGATACCACCACCCTGCCTATTTCTGCCGTGAAGCAGTAATGCGTTTCAGTTTGAAGGGTGGAGCAGCCCTTGTAACTATACTGAGACCTTAGAACTTATACCTCAAGGTAGGTGGCGGCATTTACGTTGTAGATGTCTATGGGCTCCGGTAACCACTTAACACCAGGTGGGCCGTGAGCTCGTCTACCCACCTAAGCAATAAAATGAATAAAATAACAATTATGTGGAAGCGAGAAGTACATTGGTGTTTACGTAAAAATAAGTACGAGTACCTATTTTGGTCCTGCATTACGGACGCAATGTCGAAGCGGTCGGCGTCGTCTCCAAATACCATGTCAGGCTTGACACCTGTCGATATGTAAGCCAAGACCGCCGGAGCGGCGATGGCAATGTAACATAAGATAATCTGAAAATTGAAGATTTCCCGAAAATTATTTCTATGCTAAGAGCTGTATCCAACAGCGTGAGTTACTTGAAACAATAAATAAAACAGATTCTAATTCTGTTGTGGATTCCTTAAGAGAGTCACTTGCTCGTTCCCAGCATTGTCACGACAGATATTGGACGCTATTGGACCGGTGGTAGAAGTTTTCTTTCGTGCGTTCGACAGAGGAAGGGTGAAAGTAGCCCCGCCCCAGTGATTGACAAATTAAAGAGCGGACCGTTAGCGTGGTGGGCATGTGATGCGTAGAGAGGAGACGCATGTGACTAAGAGATGTATGAAAATGGTAGTGCAAGATAAAGGGGAAGAGATCGACCGAAGAAGACACGGGTGGAGTGTGTGAATGACGATATGAGAGAGAGAGAGGAGTGAGTGTTGAGATGACGGCTGATAGAAGAGAATGGAATAGAAAAATTCGCTGTGCCGACCACATCTAGTGGGATAAGACGGAGGCACAGAAGAAGAAGTTGGACATTCTTTAACCTCTTCAACAAGTGCGGTGATTAACACATCATACGAACAGTGTAATGGCTCACTCTAGAAAACGAATGGAACGACCTTGCGGCAGAAATAGGGGTATTTATGCCGCAAGGTAGTCATTCCATGGTCATTACTTACGACGAGTTAGGTGCTCCACCTTCAAAGCTCGTCGAACCCAATATCGTACCCATCAGCTGCCCAGCTGTATTTAAGTGGTCATGTCAGGCTCCGGTAAACACAACACCAGATGGGGTATGAGACCATAAAGCCATTCGACTTATACCTACCTAAATATGCAAAAAACCAAACCGACTTGTTGTTAACTGCAAGCGGAAATTACTATTTAAATTTATTAACTTGTCACTGGTCACAATATCAGTGCGAAGATATAAAATGATTGCATTGTCATCGGTTTTTCATGTGTATGTAAATTACAAGTTTATCAGACTTTTTATGTCGATAAGAATGAGCTTTGAGATTCCGTCACATACAAATGTACATATGTACACACCAAACTATTAAAAGTGTGTTAAAAGACACTATGCTCGCGGTTAGTAATGTTGCTGTTGACATTTTTCAAATAAAACATTGATTACAAAATAGAATAAGATTGACAAACTATTCATGTATGTACAGATGTATGCCTCGTGATCGCCAATAAGATTTATAATATGAATTATTGACATAGTTACTGGCTCTAGGAAATGGTAGGTGCATTTTTTTTTTATTGCTTAAATGGGTGGACGAGCTCACAGCCCACCTGGTGTTAAGTGGTTACTGAAGCCCATAGACGTCTACAACGTAAATGCGCCACCCGCCTTGAGATATAAGTTCTAAGGTCTCAGTATAGTTACAACGGCTGCCCCACCCTTCAAGCCGAAACGCATTACTGCTTCACGGCAGAAATAGGCAGGGTGGTGGTACCTACCCGTGCGGACTCACAAGAGGTCCTACCACCAGTAAAGTAAGTACATTTCGTTTGATACCTTCATTTTGTTTATATAGAGTAGACATATCAAAACTTGTCTGCGTGAACTTATAATTTCATATGATTAAAACGACGGCACTGCCATCTTCACGTCACTAGGTATAACTAAACGACCTATTAAAATTTACAATCATTATCAGGCTGATAAAATTTAAAAAGCTTTAGAGATACAATTCACAATTTAATCTTACCATTATTTATCTTTCAAAATACGACCAAGTTACGGAATTATTGCATTGTCGTGTTGCAGAATTTATCGAAAACATAATTTATTGTTTTGCATTGAAAAGATTTTAATTGGTTATTTCAAATAGACGTATAATTTCACGCTAACGTGCTTAGACATTTCATTACTGGTGGTAGGACCTCTTGTGACTCCGCGCGGGTGGGTACCACCACCCTGCCTATTTCTGCCGTGAAGCAGTAATGCGTTTCGGTTTGAAGGGTGGGGCAGCCGTTGTAACTAAACTTGAGACCTTAGAACTTATATCTGAGTCGACTATTATCAAAGCCGGCAATGTGACTTTTGGATAATTATTGGTAAATCAGAAAAACGAATTATCGACTTTGTATTCCATTGGCAGTCACAAAACTCTTCTGAACGACATCTTAGATAAATAACAGGTTAAGTATTAACCTTTATTTAATGCAGATTTTGAACCGTATTCTTTGAAGGAGACGATTATATTCAAATCAATGTGTATTGAAATATAAATAATTTTTTTTTGTCCAAATGCACAGATTGCCACCTTTGATAATAGACGACTCATCTCAAGGTGAGTGGCGCATTTACGTTGTGGATGTCTATGGGCTCCAGTAACCACTTAACATCAGGTGGGCTGTGAGCTCGTCCACCTAACTAAGCAATAAAAAAAAATATAAAAAAATACGATCCGTGCACTCTACAGCCAAGCCGATATGCTTGGTTTTCAATTATTAATTGATTATTTCACGAATTATAAAACTTCAGATCATATCGGCTACATTTTTGTCGGCTGTCAGTTTTATTTTACAGATAAAATTAGTAATTCGTCCACGACATAATTCATTACAAAACAGTTCCAGTGCTATTTGGGATTTAAACTTTAAAGGTTTTATATATTTTTTTTAACAGTGGATCCTTGTTCTATAGTGCATGCTAATGTCGTGGGCTTAAATGCCTTTTCCTCACACCATCTATACGAATAAGCCCTGAGTTTCTAGTTGTGACTGCATTCCGAGTCGATGGAAAATCATGGCGCTGTAAAAGTGCCCATGAAGGCATTGAATTCCAACACGATGGTGTAAAGGTATTGAAGAGACAACAGGAGGAATTCTTCAACGATCTATTGTACTAATGCGGGACAGAAGCAAATGGAGACAAATCGTATGTCACGATTGTCATTTGGAAGGAAACGTCAAAGGAGAAGATGAAGGTAAATTTGGATACACAAATATTTTATTTTAGATTAAGTCACCTTACATAGTATGCTGTTACGTCGGCAAGAGTAACGGCATCTATCGTTCAATAGCTGAACGAATATCGAAGGATCTCGTAATTACTTGACTTGTGAGGACGACGAATCTAGCGATGTCGTCTCGACTATAAAAGTGTTGCAAAGATGGTCCGCAGTCAGTAATCGGAACTACTCGAAGCGAAACAGCGAACGGATCACCTGAAGCGAAGCGGAACAATCGAATTGAGAATTTTAAAGTGTTTTTGAAGTGTTTTGAATGTTCTAAGTGATAAATACAGTTTTAAGTTGTACTTTGGTGGATAGTTTACTTATCCCGAACCCCAGCGCGTAACAATTCATTATATGTCGTAGAAGGGCCGAAATCTTTATTATTTCTTGACATAGTGGGTGTACGGTGGGTAGTCGTGCAAAGAGATTTCGCAGCACGAACCGATTGCAGTTCCAAGACGTCTTCACTCTTCCTAAGTCTAGTCCTAAGTCTAGACTTCCTAAGACAGGCAACGAATGTGTTTCGATTCAACCCGAGCGATGACACCTCGACTCTGCCGATGCACACCACCCGAAGGGAGCAGATGTTTGACGAGTAGTTGCGGCTCCTATCTACTAGATGGCGCGCCTTCGCGTGGCGTCGCGTTTGGCGTGGCTGGATGCGACATATTTATATATTATTTTTATGGTTATGGAAGCTAACTAATTTTCTAGAGAATAATTATTTTGTCATGACGTTTGGCGTTCCAAATACTTTGCTTAACATATATATATCTTCGGTAATGTCTTAGCAAGAGCATTACTAGCAAAGATTTATAAATTACGATAAATTTTTTTATAACAAAATTTCAGACTGTTTACCTATTTTAAGTTTAGATGATGATCTATTGAGCATTCAGATCCTAATGACTGTCTAATCATACAAAATAGTTTGAACAGTAGCGTCATGTATTTCAGTCGTATGAAAAACTTTCACAATAATAATAAAACGGATATTATCGTGCGGGCATCTGTTTAAACACGGCTTTTTCTGCAAACGCTCCGCGGAAAAGCGTTTAGCGGGCAAAATAATGTTGCCACCCTTTAAGACTGCCCGGAATTTATAGGGAAATGGAGCAAAATGATGACGCGCTTAACTATTTTTTATTAATTTATTTCGTAGATTTGCAGACGTGCTCACGGCTCACCCGTTGTTAAGTAGTTACCTGAGCCGTTAGAAATCATTACATCTGCGATTTCAACATATTGCTGACAGGCTACAACAATCTTTTGTTATCTTCTGTTAGTCTAGGTATCATTCTAGAATAATAAAAATCTTGATTCGTCTTTAACATTCCATATAATTTAGCCCATCGAAACAAAAAAAGAACGTATTATGATTTTAGTGGTTATGTCCTTTATTTACACGGGTTACATAGGGACCATCGAAATAAACGTTTTGTTAAGCATCGATATTTCCACATTTTTACTCAGTGTGGCGATCCTCTTTTAGATTCACAATCGACTATAAAACACTATAATGATAGCAGCAGGTGAATTTCGATAGTTATAATTATATAAAAAAAAACACGTGTGGCACTCGGGGACAGCCACGGTAAAGCTATTGGATAGCTTTTTTTATCTACTTATGCAATTATAATTAGACAATAATAATTTAATATTAAAACAATAATAAAATAAGACCACGCTATATTTATAAACATTTACAAAAGCAAAACATTAACTGTCCCCTTCACACTCATAAGCTAGACCGCGCGAGAGAGAGATGGGCAGACTTTTCATGATGCGCATGCAGTGCGACGTCACGCCGCGCGCTTATTCACACAAACGCAACGTGTGAATTTTTTGAACGCGAGCTACATGGTAGGCGGAGTGGGGGGCGCTAGGTTTTATTTTCGTTACGGAATTTCTTGATTCGGTCGCCGCGCTCAAAGCCCGCGATAAAAGCTATGCAATAGCTTAAAAATACAATTAATTCACAGCCAAGTCTACCGAATCTAAAAAAAACAAAGGAAAGGAAATTCTTCGTCTTGCAACACTTGAACGGAAAA